CCACAGTGTTTTGCTTTTTCTTCTTTCTTTTTCCCTTTTTTCCTACCAAATTTTTTGGCATCTTTGTCTTTCGAAGAGGGCGATGTTCTGTCAGAATTCAGCAGGTGCTCTGGTTGGCTGAGGGGACCCATAGATGTGAGTTTTGGTGTATTTCTGGGAGGGGGTGAGCTACAAGCGTCCTTCTACTAGGCCATCTTGCTTCTCTCTCCAGAATCTCAGTTTTATTGAGTAGGAAATAGTTTTAGCATATACATCCTAAAAAAGCTTTTTCCGGCACTTTTGAGGTTCTTACTAGAGAAGTTTTACAAAATTTTAAAGTGCTAAATTGGTTCTCTATTCACACTGGGATGTAACACTGGAATTGCCCCACCTAACTGCTTTGCAGCAGGGTTTGAAATATTAGATAGGCAGTAGGCTCAGCAAGAATCAGGAAGGGTTTAGCTGCACAGGTCCTGCTTTCATGAGTCCAGGACAGAAACAGTTCTTGCCTAAGAGTTGAGGTAGTTCTGGGGAAGTGTCTCGCTTGCGCCACAGACTCTGAATTACCTGCAGAGCACCCAAGGCCCAGTAAGGCTCAAAGGCCTAATTCCATGGAACTTGTCAGAGCTATGACAAAAGGCAGCATACTTCCCTACTACCGTAATGAGTATGATCAGAGCAGAAGGTCACAACATGGCATCTTGAAGGCAATGTATGAGTAACAAAGGATAATGTGGTCCCAGATCAGTGATTCTCAAAACTGGCCATATACCAAGATAACCAGGAATCCTAAAAAAATTACACACACACACAACACACACTGGATCCCACTCCTGGAGACTATTATTCAGAAGGTTTTGGGTGGGCCCAGAATCCATGCTTCTAAACAGTTTCATTGGTGATTATGATTAAGAACTACTAGACCAGAGATTCTAGACCAAATAGACATAGGAGGCCCCTAAATTCCCTCCACCCGCGGATGTGTGGAATGTTCAGTTACACACGGAGCAACTTCCTCTGAGAGAAATCCAGAAACTAGCTGAGTGACTTCTACACATCAGGTCACTGAGAAAATAACCGCATTGAAACGGGTAAGCAAGGTGAGACATACTTGTCATAAACCCCATTCCTGACACACCACACAGTCAGGAGCAAACCTCCTACTGCCAGCTTCTCCCTGAGGAGCCAAAAGTTTGGACCACACATTTAGCACCCCAACTTTTAAGACTCCCATGAGGGATGGACCCCCAAGTTACCTAACTCTAAAAGCCAACAGCACTCGCATTCACAAAGCCCCCTAGGGCCATAGCAAGCAAAGATGAGGTTCTTAGCAGGCACAGGAGCACTTGTGGCATCTGATCCCGCAGAGCTCAGCTCAGAGGAAGCAGGCAAAACACCCGTCCCAGGTCTATTCCTGCCAGGGGCTTATCTGCATATTTCACAAGTGCTGCCTGCGGGTCTAATTAGCACGCAGATAGGTAATCACTGCAATCTTTTCCAGAGCCCGAAGAGGCTAGTAAGCATTTCCCCTTGCTTGCTTTTTTGTTTGTTCAAATATTAAAAGTAAGTCACCAGTATTTCCCTGGAGGGAGCATTTCCACATCTCTAGCAGCCTAACTTTGACGGCTGCCATCCAAGGGATGGGCTCCCAAATCACCTAGGTCTGCTACCCGGCAGAGCTTGCATTTTTGAGTCCTGAAGACAGGAGCAAATAGGGAGGCAATTTTTAAACAGGGCAGGAGCCTGCCACGGCTATCCACCCAAGCTCCGGCAGAGGGAGCAGGCAAAACTTCCAGTTCTCCCTGGAAGGGGATCAAGTGCCTACTTTCCTAGCTGCTGCCTGAGGGTCCAGCTTCTAATGAGCCTGCATCTAGGTGCTGACTGGGATTCTTCCCTTCGGGACCCTGGCGGATCTTGGCACACTCTCAACTACTACGAGCTACACATAAAGAACAAAGATAGCTCCTTGGACAGTCACAAAGTTTAGGCAACCAGGAACTCAGGCGAGGTTGAATGAAAAGGTCTGTTTCCCACATGAGACCAGCCTGTCAAGACGGGAAGAGCTGGTTGTCTTATCTAATGTGCAGAAATGAACACAGAGATTTAAGGAAAATGAAGAATCATGGGAATAGATTCCAAATAAAAGAAGAAGATAAAACCTCAGGAAAAAAGACTTTAATGAAACAGAGAAGTGATTTACTTGATAGAGTTCAAAATAACAGTCATAAAGATGCTCACTGAGGTCAGAAGAGCAATACATGAACAAACTGAGAATTCCAACAGTGACGTACAAAATATTTAAAAGAAACCAAACAAAATCATTGAGAAGCAGCGTCTGCTAACTGCACTGAAAAATTCAACAGAGGGGTTCAACAACAGACCAAGTCAAGCAGAAGGAAGGGTTGACAAACTTGAAGGCAGGGCTGTGGAATTCATGTAACTAGAATAGCAAAAAGAAAAAAAAATAATAAAGAGTGAAGATAGCTTGAGGAACTTCTGAGATACATCAAGTGGGCCAATATGTGTATTACTGGAGTCCCAAATACATTAAACAAACACTAAGATATCTGAAGAGAGGAACAGACAGCAATACAGCAGTAGCAGCGGACTTCCATACTCCACTCTCAGCAACGGACAGATTGTCCAGACAGACAGATAATCAATAGGGAAACTTCAATAGGGAAACTGTAGTTAGACCAAAAGGAGAGGCTGGTAAAGGGGTATAAACTTTAAGTTATACGATGAATGAGGTCTGAGCATTTACTACATAACATGGTGACTATAGTTGATAATACTGTATTGTATAATTGAAATTTGCTAAGAGAGTAGAACTTAAGTGCTATCACCAAACTAAGAAAGTACGTAAGTAATTAAGTAAGTGAGGTGATGAGTTTTTTAATTAACTTGATGATAGGAATCCTTTCACATATATATGCATATCACCATGTTGTACACTTGAAATATATTACAATTTTATTTGTCAATTATACCTCAGTAAAGCTAAAAAAAAAAAAGAAAAAAAAAAAGAAACTGCTAGGCTAGCCATTGAGTTTGTTGAAGACAGGGACCAGCTCCTTGATGACTAACACAGTATTTTAAAATTATTCGTTGAATATATAAATGATACCTGCCTTTCAAAATTTTGAATCTAGTTAAGTAGGATATATACAGTATAAACCAGTGACTCTAAACCTATCTCAGAATCACCTGTGAGTGCTTGTTAAAAATATTCCCAGAGGTTGATTCTGGCATAGATTCTAGGAACTGAATTTTTACCAAGGGTGAAAAGTGATTCTGGTATAGTTGGTCAAAATGAATTCGAGAATCACTGGGAAAATAATAAACAATATAAGGATTGACATCCCTGTGGCTTTATAGTAGGGAAGGTTTGTCAGTGTGGAATTCAGCTTTTCAGGTGAGTACAATTTGGATATAGCAAATACCTGGTATGCAGGCCACCATACTCCTCTCCTCACAAATTTTGGTCTCAGAAACTTTCCTTCTTTCTCCAGACTGGTGTGGTTAATAGGCTAGAATTCACGTCTGGGAAACAGCTTACGTGCTAGTCCTGACTAAGCTGCAGTGTGACGGAAGGGAGGACGAGACTGAGCAAAGGCTTCGCAGTAGGAATGTCTGCTTCCAGGTTTGAGGGGCAAGTGAACGATCTGAGTTACTATGTTAGCTTCATGATAAGTAAGTTAGTGGGAAGTACAGTTGCCAAGATGAGCCGGATTGTGGAAATCCAGAATGCCAGACTGAAGAGTATGCATTTTATTCTGTATGTAATGTGTTATGTGTAAAGAAAGTATTTGGGGAAGATGCTGGCAGTATATAAAACAGTCTAGAGGAGAAAGGGAGACTAGCAAGGACTAACCAACTAACCCAATAACCCAATAACTTGGAATTTATGGTTCGAATTGGGATGATGATGTAACTCTAATACTCAGCAAGCGTTCAGTATTCACTGAATTAATTAATTAATGGAAAGGAAGGGGCAGGACAATTGTAAGAGGCCACCCAAAGGAAAATATGAGATTAGTCATGAGGTGTAAGGGAAGAAGAGTCAGAAAATGTCCCAAACGTTCTTAAACTGGCAACCAGAAAAAAAATGACTAATGTGGAGCCTGGAAGAAGAAATGAGTTTTTGGGAAAAGATGATAATTTAGGATTATAGAGCTGTGGTCACAGAGTTAAAAAGCTAGAAATGCTCTTGAAGAATTCTTTCTACACCTTCATTGTTCACAGGTGGGAAAAGATTCAGGTATTTTTTAGACCTAGTTATAAGAGAGCTAAGACCAGAAACCAGAGTCTTCTGATTTCCTTTCTAATATATTAACACTGACAGGAAAGCCAGGTGAAAATATTCCTCCTCCCGAGGAGAGAGGTAAGGACTTACAAAGCGGGTTTGAAATTTACCCACTTAGAGGTAATCAATTCCTTTCTCTAGTACCTTATTATACTTCCATTGTGTAAGAGAAGACAGTGACAACATGAAGTCCAATACATACACATTTCACTTTATAACCTATTTTGTTGGAGAGCTTTGAGGAAAGCTTGTACTTATAAAGCAGAGCTTCCTTTAATGCTCATAATGAGAAAATTATAGACAGAATTTTGAGAAAGTCCTAAAAACAGCTGTAGTAGAATAAATTGGCCAAAGTGTAAAAATTCTAACTAAAATACCTCAATTTTCATAATATTATGTTTGTTGAGAGCCTAATAAAGAAGAAAACCTTTAATGAAGCTTTAGAACATTTGCACACATGTAAAACAAGGCTAGTTAATATTCAGTTAAGGCAATGAATCTTTCAAAGAGACTCATCATTGATGAAGACTGGCTTGCTATTCAAAATGAAGGATAATTTATCATTCAAGTTTTATTTGAATATTTCCGTAAAATAAGAGCATTTAAGTGATTCGCTCAACATTTCAAGTTGATTAATATATACCTGTGGCCATAAAACACCACTATTCTTGAGCTGTAATGTCGGACTAAACCTACTGTGTAATGTGATTGTAAATCAGGGGCTCAAACTCCCAACACAGCCCAGTCAGCTTGTGCCAACAGATGACCTATGTAGCCTTCATGGTATTTTTAAGACCTCTGTATCTGAATTCTTTTAGTGTGCTTTTACTCTCTAGTTGCTTATAGGCCCTACCCTGCAGTCATTACACCTGTTTCCTTCAATCAGTTATCAGTCTATCCTTTGAAGGCATCTGGGTTTAAAACTCTTCTTCTGCACAGAGCCCTGCTCCTGGTCATTGTGTATGTCCATATACACTTGGGTCCAAATATATGTCCATTATCCTAATATATGTCCAAAACATCATCCAAAATACATGTCTGGGTCAGTCCATGTAGGCAAAAGATCTGTTTCTCAGAATTGTTCTAGTTCCATACATGTCAAACCCTACGTTCATTCACGGAAGCAGTTCTTTTTTCTTGGATAACGCAAGGCAAGAGAATATATAACCAACAAAACATGCGCCATAATATACATATTTGCTCATGTTACATAAAACAGTTTTTCCACAGGTAACCTTTGATGTTCCTTGGTCTTCAAACTGCGTAGGTGGAAGGTGCTATAATTACACTGAAATTGCATATGCTTGTGACTTTCTCTTTGTGATGTCTTATGATGAACGAAGTCTGCCCTGGTCACAATGTATTGCAGGAGCCAATTCTCCCTATACTCAGACATTAACTGGTAAGAATTCACAAAATGACCATTTATCAGTAGCATTAATTCTGTAACCGCAAACATTAAGATATATTTTAGTATTCCTAAGTCATTTGTATACATTTTCCATTTGTAACACTTTTCTTGAAACATATAAAAACCATTTAATTTAGAGAGCTCCAAAGTTTACAAAAGGTTTTCAAGTTTTCAATTACTTCTTCTAAAAATCTTGTGGGACAGGTATATTAATATTACCCCTCTATTTGGGTGTTAAGTTCTCATGACTGACCAGCTATTAAGTATTATATGGTAGGGATACAAACAGGTGTTTTAACTTCAAGTCAACACCCTAGTCAGAAAGTTACACAAAGAAGATACTTGCTTATTTAGAATTTGACAGGATATTTTTGTTGACATAACCAGTGTTAAATAATAGCAAGGGTAGCTATAATATGAGCTCCTATCATACATGATTGAGAGGATTGGCTTTACCTTTTTTGGCACTTACTCTTAGTACCCACATTAAATGAAGAACTGTATCCCTGTCAGAAGTGAGTACTTCCAGTCTGTAATTCATATTACGTGGCCTTTGCATTATCCTTTCCAAAGTTTGGATTGGCTTGTATCCCACTTGCCAATTGAATAAAAGATTTCTTGCTATCTTTTGGACTTAAGTGAGATTTTCTTGGATAGTTGGCATTGATTTAAGGGTTAATTAATACATAAAAATTCTTTTCTTTTTCATATAGAGGTAAATTGTAGAACCTGGCCTCATTTTATTATTTCCTAATTGTTTGGACAGAATAGTCTGATCATAAGCATATTCTATTTAAAATTTGAAAAATAATTTGTTTAATAACAAAATAATCATTTGATCCAGTGTTTGCAAACTGTGTTTCATGGAAGAGATGATAATTGTGTACATCAATAAATGGTTCATTATCAAATATGTTTGGGAAATGAAACATACCCCACCCCTCTTTAGGATATTTCTAAGAGTACACAATAACTCTAAAGGTTCTGAAGAACAGCAAATTTACTCAACATCCTAGATAATCTTGGAACATATCTTGGTGGGAAAACAAATTCTGCAGCGTTGGGCAAGAAAGGGATTGATAGTACCAGGAATTTGTTCGTTTTTCTCTTTGTTTCCTTTAACAACAGATTATCTGCTACAGAGTATGACGGGAGCATTTCTTATCCCAAGCGTAATTCATGCTTATAGAATATTGATAAAATGTGGAACACATGTGCATTCTATAGCAATTATGAGACCATCCCTGCCAGAAAGTTTAGGACTTACAGAATTTTTTTAAAACTTTAGAATCTAGAATATCAGATCTATGCCTTAGCAGTTAACAGTCAGATTAGCATGCTTTCCTGAAATGTCATTGTTTCTGAAATTAAATTTTGAGAGTTTTCTGTTTCAGTTTGATCTTGTGTTTTCTATTATTCAAAAAGAAATAGTTTATAAAGTGATATGGAATTTATACTTCTTAATGGATGACCTCTATAATATCATGTTAGAGAAATATTGTATTATTATGTATTTTGCATGAATGTACCTGTTTTTACAGACTTAGATTCTGGACAGTTGTATAGCTTGTATGAATACATTAGTAGATATATGAAGAGAAAAAAATAAGCTTTTTCTGTCCCTATTCGATTAGGATATGAGGACTACATCAAGATAGGTATTAGCCCTAAGAAACTTGTAATGGGTATTCCCTGGTATGGTGTTGACTATACCTGCCAGAATCTATCAAAGGTAAGAGCAGATCATTTCTTATGTAATTTTTTTCTTTCTATTTTTTTTAAAGCCTGTTGTGTTTCCTCTACATAAATTTTATTTAGAATTTAGAAACTTCTCTCTATATAGAATACATACACTTTATTGAGAATTTCTTTAACATAATTTGAGATGAAAAAGTAGACAATTTTAAATTATTAAACCCTATGAAAGTTTCTGAATATTATTATATTTTTATTTAATCATGAAATTTAACTTTTATTGTGTGTAGTCAGGTTATCTGTTTATGGTATGTATTTTAGATCTAATAAATAACTTTTGATTCTATATTTAGATTTGGCTCTTAAGATTTGCTTAAGATAATCTATAACATGAACGTTTTTGCACTTCAAGGATCATGTTTGTACCACTGCAAAGCACCCCTGTAAGGATGCTGTACACCAGCAGGTGCCCTATAAATTGATTATGAAGCAAGTAAACAACTCTCCTTCTAAAAGCCTGTGGGATAAAAGTCAGCAGTCTCCTTATTACCACTATCAAGTAAGACTTTTCACAAGTTATGAACCTTTATTCTATTAGTTTTCATAACTGCATATGTTCATAATTACGTATTTGATAGTAAGAATTTCTATCAGTTTTCTTATAGGATACAACATACAGACTACCGTTTACATGAGTAGTCTTGTCTTTGAATCTGTGTAATCAGATTTACCTCCCTTATGAGCAATTCAAGTTATGCTAATAGTGGAACTGCTCTGCACGGGCCACTTGTCATTTAGGTGACATAAAAAAAAAATGCGTATCACAAACAGGATTTCCTTAAGAGTTGACAATTAAATAAGGGGTCTGTGGCTTTTGAAAGGGCTTTGGACCAAAATAGGCTCCTTGCTCTGAAAGCCTCCATTTCAAAGTAGCCTTAAGATTCTGATGAGGCTCTTACATAGGGAGGAGTGAGGCTGAGAACAGGAGCTGCGTCATCATGGACTTCACAATGGAAAACAATATCATTTCAAATTTATTCCAAAATTCAAACTACGGGATATTAAACAAATTATAACCAACATTAGAAATTAGAGACGGAGAAATATTAAAACAGAAACTTGAAGAAATAGAGAAGATGACTGGCAAGTCTTTCAGGCAGTGTGTGACAAATAGGAACTGCCATACCAAAGGGGAAAAGAAAGTTTATTTTCTTCATAGTTTACCTTTAGCATAATAAAAACTTTTTCACATATCAGAAATCTAAGTACAGATCATCCTTGAATTCACCTTGGATTATGTTACTATTAAAGGAGCCCTTAAATGATATGACATTCCAGCAAGAATTTATATTTCTTACTTATGGTCTGGTACTCATTTATAAAAATGACAGCAAATATACATATTTACTACATTATAATTGATATATACTTGTACATGCCTATCAATTATACAGAAAGCTTTCGTGTAGAGCTTTCTAAAATTTAGAATCTAAAGGATAAACTTATTAATTAAACTAGGGTATATTGTGATCCTGTCTTTACCAAAGAGTATTTATAGAACCCTCTTCTGGGAACTGTTAATAACACACACACACTAGTGGTTACCAGTGGGAAGAGCAGGGGGAGTGGCAACGGTGGGGGGGGGGTGAGAGGTGCAAACTATTGGGTGTAAGTCAGGCTCAAGGAATATAGCTAATATTCTGTAATAACTGTAAATAGAAAGTAACCTTTAAAACTTGTATTAAAAATTTTTAAGTTAAACAAAATAAAGTTAAATTTAAAAATAATATACTAACCTCCCCCCCCCCGACATGCACACAAATACACACACACGCACGCCATGGCCAAATATATTTGGAAAATACTATCTACTGTAAGTCCCTCTTGGAGATTTATAATGTCTATAATATTATATTCAAAGACTTGAGAAGTACCATAGTACATAAAGCCTTTTCACTGACTCAGAACCCTGTTTCCCAGCACTATTAGAAACATGCAGGGGGAACAGTGTTTCATGGGTATCAGTTTGGTAAAGGCTGTATGAAACCAATTATACATAGTTTAGAAATGTAAAATTTAGAATGGTTTTACCCTGTGGTGTATTGCTTTTTGTTAATTCCTGACTTATTTTTTTCTTAATATGTAAGAAGACACATTCTTTGATTTTAGAACTCAAGAAACATTTTTATGAGTCTTGAAAACTATTCATTTAATGGCACTTCAGACAACCATCGAGTTATAACAAATTTGTTTTTTTTAATTCATTGTAAAATTCCATAGCAACCAAAATCAAGCTTCTATTTTAACTGAAGAGAATCATTCTGCTTTCTTATGCTGTCTCAGCACCAGCAGCTTCATCTTGCACTCCATATTCTTGGAGGCATATATTCCTTAACCATGCATGTATCAAATTTACATATACTGTTTTTCATCCTTTGATCCTTCACTGTTTGAGGCATTTGAAATTTCTTATCATATCAAAAAGGCTCAAAGCACTGGCTAGAATGATGGCAGAATTCAAAGGTATGTGTCTTTGGGTTTGCCCTTGACTCTGCAAAAAAAAAATCTTTCTATATTAACGTACAAGTTTTGCAAGTTGCCTTTTAGTACTGAGGCACAATTGGTACTAGAGCATGCATGGCTTTTTCTAGTACTAAAGATTTTAAAGAATGGAATATAAGATATAGTATGAGACATGCTTGAATTAATGAGTCTCCTGTACTTAAATACGCCACAGCTTATTCATTTACCAAGTGACTGTTGCCCTTTAAAGCAGCCATCTTAGGAGAGGATTCTGATTCCAGTGGTGCTACCATACGTAAAAATATTACTAGTATTCATTGAGAACTGCCTTTAAAGAGTTCCCCAGATATATATAAAAATCAGTAAATTATTTTAACTCACAGGTCATTCTATTTTTACTTCCTGTCTTTTCTCCTTCCTTTACCCTTTTGCCTAATTCTGCTCCTTTCCTCTTTCTTTCATCCTTTATCCAGTAGCATATATACCTCCTAAAGGGGACTGTGTTTAGTACTAGATAGAGGCACGTGATACTGGGGAGAAGAACTTTACAGGGTGGAAGGTGAGCATATGACCAGTTTCTAGTCTGTGGCTCTTAATGAGGTGTGTGCCTTGGTCATCCATGGGGTCCAGACTCAACGGGCTGTTAGAATCAATTTTATAAGACTTAGAAAAGGAGGTATTTTCTTTGTCCATTGCCATTACCTTTTGATTTGACTGATTCATCATAAACAAAACCATCTGTTGAGGTCCTAATTAGGCACATTTCCAGTAACTGTAGGGGATACAAAAAAAGTGTATAAGCTGGTTGTATGAGCAGTGATCTTCCTTAAACTTGGCTGCATCTCAGAATTACCTAATAGAACATTACAACATGAAACAAAAAAACAAATAAATACATGTTCTAGCATCAGCTCTGGAAGATTTTGATTCAGTAAGTTTCACATGGTGTGGGTCCCAGGAATCCGGTTTTGAAAGCCCTCATAAGTGATTCAGATGTGTACATATTGGTTGGTAATCATCAGATCAAAGCAAGGAAGGAATTTTAGGGCATAAGAAGAACCTTAAGTAGAATATATGGAGAGGCTCACCTGTGTAATCTCTGTTGTAAAAGTGCCACAAGCAATGACATCTAGAAAGTATCATATACAGAACCATGGAAAGTATTGTGCCCTAGAATTTTTATTATTTCATTGTATCCTTTTTGAATCATTGGATTTAAGAAATATTTTTCCCTCTTACTGTACTGAATACTTTCAATTTCCATTTTAATTTATTTATATAGGATAAGGCCGGTCATTTTCATCAAGTGTGGTATGATAACCCTCAGAGCATTTCTCTAAAGGCAGCATATGTACAAAACCGTGGCTTACTCGGCATTGGCATGTGGCATGCAAACTGCCTTGACTACTCTGAAGATGCTACAGCCAAAAAGCAAACTGAAGAAATGTGGAAAGCCTTAAGGAAAAAGCTGTGACAGGAATGAACATCTTCTGTCAAACTACTGAGATTTAGAAAAATGATCTGTAGTAGTTCTAGTTTCTTGAAGAGATTAAAAAAGTATACATTTTTGTCATGTTGCTATATATTTTAGTTATTTGTATACTCAAAAACAAATAAAGAATAAAGAAATGCTTTGATTGTTTGAATTTGAAAAAAATGCACATTTATATATATTGTGTACAACAATATAAGGGTTAAGAAACAAGTCAACTTACTATGTTAAATATTCCTAAAAGATGTTTAATACTATAGTTAGAAATAATTGCTTTCAGAACTTTATTATGCTAAAATTTTCCTCATGATATTAAAATGTATACTTATAAATCAATAATTTTTTAAAATATGTATAATTTGAAGTGGAATTGTTCAGAATAGATTTTTTTTAAAACTTAGTCTTTGAGAATCAGTAGTCAATAAATCTAAATTTAAAACTGCAATTTAGTGTCTTTAGGTTTATCCAACTGATGCAAGTCATTTTTCTGCTTCCTGGCTCCATATGCACTCATGTTCTCTGAGTCACTTGAGTTAAACTCACTTAGGCCTCCAGAGGGAAAAATGAATATAAAGGATCAAAATACTTAACAAAATACAAGAAGATAACTTAGTAGTAATATTTTGAATTAGTAGGCTAGAGCTACCTAATATTTTCCAGCTAAATTATTTGTTGAGGTTATATCTGAAATGCTTATGAAAAACTTGGTACTGAACCTGATTCAATTCAATTTACCCTTCCAATTATTAATATTCCTTCATTTATGGACCTCTGTGCTTCTTGGTTAGTCTTGTCTTCATGGTTAAATTTTCTCATTTTCTATATCTGCATTTTACTTTTAATTACCTAAAGACATTGGTTTCTCAACTGTTTTTTCTATCTACAAGAGAAATTTTGTGCAAAGAACTTTCTTTAAATGTATAGAAGTTTCTGTTCTCTTAGGCAATTAAGAAGAATATAACTGTGTTACACTTATATCAGTTCCTATAAATACTTAGATTAAAAATCTGCATCCTTGAACTCTAGATTTACATAAAATCCTGCCTTCCCTGCACATTTCCTCCTCTCCACGTTGGAATAAATGCTTATTCACAGTCATCTGCTATGATAATACTTCATTTCCTACTTAAAATTATTTATGGCAGAGTAACATTAACCATTTTCTGTAGTATTTGCTGAATTACTATTGTCTTTTTATTTCTAAAATTAATTTAAAAACTTTAAATTCTTAGTACTAATCTATCATGGCTGTGGATGCAAGTTAGATTCAAATTTATTAAAATATATAATTTTTTATTTCATAGTCATACTAGCTATTACAATTTAAGACTATTTAAAAATGAAGATGATAAAATATAGTACTATAAAATAATATATAGTATATTTGAAACCTTCAAAAATAATCAAAAATGTACCATTTTGGTTTTTTACATCTAATATTTCCTGAAACACTGTATAATACACACATGAAAAGGGAAAAGATATAAAACTTATAATTTATAAAAAACATTGCCAAAGAGAACAATGGTTAAACAAATTTGTTCAAGTAAGTAAATTTTTTGACAAATGAAAATTTTAAATTAACATACCTAATTGAGATTGTAAAGATGTATTAAACTTCTGTGTCAGTTCAGCTTTCAATGTGCATAAATCTGAAACTGCTTGTTTTCTCATCTATAAAAAAGAATTGCCTTTCAAAAATGAACTTTCATTTTACCTTTCTAAAGTTATATAATTGTCATATTAATAAGGGTTTCTATAACAGTTTTCACTGTCTTCTCTCATTTGCCTTAAATGCCTTCACTCCCACTGGATTACTACAGTAAAATATAGGCCATAAGTTGCAACTGCTAAATATGCTACCAAATTTCATTTATCAGTATATAAGCATCATAAAATTAAACTGTTCATAAAATTAAACTGTTCTAAAAATCTAGAGTGATAAAGAATTTTGCCTTTGTTCAAGTTTCAAAAATCTGTTCTCAATATATAAATATTAAAAATATTTAATTAAATATTAAAAATAGCTGAAAATAGTAAAAAACAAACCAAAACCCAAAATACCCCACAACCTCTGCCCCCTAAAAATAATTACAAAAAAAAACCCTTAATTCCCAGCCCTTAGAAACTGAATAGGTACTTAAGAAATATAATAGTGTTTACTCTGTGGCAAGCACTCTTTTAAGTGCGTGAATCTCTTTGACACTACAAATTTTTTATTGAAGCAGATACTGTTATTTCTCCCCATTTTACAGCAGAGGAAACTGAGGTGCCTAGAAGTTAAGTAACTTGCTCAAGGTATAAAACTAGTAAGTGGCACAGCCAGGATTCAGACTTAAGCCATCTGGTACAAGAACTCTTGCTATTCCAAGTATTGTCTGTGGACCATCAGCATTAGCATCACCTAGGAGTTTGTTAGGACTGAAGACTTTCAGGCTTCGCCCTAAACCTATTGAGTCAGACAGATCCTGCTAATTTTAACAGGATGCCCAGGTGATGTCACATTGTACTGTGAGAAGCACTGATTGTGCTATAGTATCTTGAATATGGTTGCAACAGATTCAAGCTAGGTTTTCTGTTCCTTAGTTTTGTATCTTATAGGTAGTTTTGGGTAAATTATTCAGAAATCAATAATAAATTCTTATTATATCCTCTATGGGACAATTAAGCACTATTGTTAAATGTAGGATTTTTTTCTCCCAAGTCTGTAGGCTGAAAACTTAGTTCTCTCTCTTTTTTTTTCCCATTTGTCTTTCCTGTTTTTTCATTAATAATTCTAATATGGGTTCAAACCATTCACATGTAATATTTATAAGGTTAAAATACACAAAAATGGTAAGAACTAATGTGTATGCTTTCTGAAGAGCACTGAGAGAGCCATAAATAAAGTCTCTGGAGGTATTTTTATTACTTCCTTCTACCCATCCAACTATCCCTGAGTAGACAAGTTTCCACATTGAATTTCTTTCCATTTTTTGAATACACAGGAGTTTTCATTCACTGAATGAATTTTTTCTGAGTACATACTGTATAAGAATATTAAATAACTCCTTTTTTGTTTAAAATTGTCCTCTTTGTATTTTAAGTTTTAAGCTTCTCAGCGCTGAGCCAGGGTTTAGCCCTGAGAATGCTGCCAGTGAAAAGAATCTAGAACTATGCTGCCCAATAGAGTAGCCACTGGCCACATGTGACTCCTTAAGTTGAAATGAACTAAAGTTAAATCTAAAAGTAAAATTCAATTCCTCAGGCACATGACAAGCTACATTTCAAGTGCTCAACATCCTTACGTGGCTAGCAGCGACCACACTGGACAGTGCAGGTATGGAACATCTCCATCATTGCAGAGTTCTGTTGAGTAGTGCTGAGTCTAGACAGGGGTCATTACACTGTGTTGTAAAGCTACTTCTGATACAGAGGTGAATCGACAGCATTCATATAATATTATATATATGAAAATAACCAGGAGAATGAGATAAGGACCCAAGAGAGAGGGAAAAAATTAAAATTAAATGGGAGCTCAGAGAGCTCAGTGGTTTGTCAGACTTATTTATGAATGACTCTAATATATGAAAATTACTTCTAAAGTATTTTATGGAGACTCTATACTGATTCACAAGGTCTTTTTCTTTTATTTCTTAGTGAAATTTTACTAAATTTTACTTTGGCTTTGTTGTGAATCTTTTCACAGGATTTTGTTGTCATTCTATTTTTTTTTTCCATTCATGCTCTTTTTTTGTTAAGTTAACAATTTTAAGGCAGTCAATCCTTTTTACCCTTATGCTATTGACACCTAAAGTTAAAACCCCAAAATATTTTATTTCAAGGTAAATGTTATAATCTGATGAGGGGAAATGCAAAGTACCTTAACTTCTATTATGAGTTTCATTTTGTCAGTATCCAGTTTTCTCTTAAGTTGGTCAATAGCATGCTGAACCTCAGTGATCTGGATGATAAGGCAATTCTGTATGAGATATATGAAGATGTCTTTATTTAGTATAATATGTATTCATTTTTTATTTTAATTGCCTTGCAAATAGAAAGTACAAAGTGATATCAAATATCAAAAAAGCAAATCATGAAAATAACCTATTCCATAAAATAAACTTATTGCCTTAGAGTAATATTGAACTGTTGATTTCTTTAACTTTTATTTTGAGTTATAGTCAGTTTATGATGTTGTGTCAATGTCCAGTGTAGCGCACAATTTTTCAGTTATACATGAACATACATATATTCATTGTTGTATTCTTTTTCACCATGAGCTACCACAAGATCTTGTATATATTTCCCTGTGCTATACAATGTAATCTTGTTTATCTATTCTATACATACCTGTCGGTATCTACAATTTCGATCTCCCAGTCTGTCCCTTCCCACCACCCTCCCCCCTGGCAACCACAAATTTGTATTCTATGTCTATGAGTCTGTTTCTGTTTTGTATTTATGTTCATTTGTCTTTTACTTTTCTTTTCTTTTCTTTTTTAGATTCCACATATGAGCAATCTCAAATGGTATTTTTCTTTCTCTTTCTGGCTTACTTCACTTGGAATGAACTGTTGATTTTTTTATGTTTTAGGGACCACTTTCCTTTCGGGTCTACTACCATTTTCATGTATTATAAAAATAAATAGGTATTTATAAAAGTTACCATTAAATTAGCATCATAAAAACCAATAACTATTACTATAATAGGAATAGACTAGGTTTAAGATACTTAGCAAGGCTTTAGAAATTGGCATACTGGTTTATTAGCTGAATCAGATTAGAATTACTTTAAAATATTTAATAATGAAATTGATCTAAAATGGTAAACATTTACTCATAGAAACAGAACAGATTGATGGCTGCAAGAGGTGGGAGGTGGGGAACTGGGGGAAATGCGTGATGGTAGTCAAAAGTTGTGGACAGAAGATAAATAAGTTCCAGGGATGTAATGTACAGCACAGTGACTATAATTAACAGTACTGTATTGTATATTTGAAAGTTGTTAAGAGAATAGATCTTAAAAGTTCTTATCACACACACAAAAATTATAACTGTGAGTTGATGGATGCTAATTAAACTTATTGTGGTGTCCGTTTCACAATATATACATATGTCAAACCATGTTTCCACCTTAAACTAATACAATATTGCATGTCAATTATACCTCAATTAAACTGGGAAAACTCGTAAACTTTTAATATTTCATCACATCTAAAGGTAAATCTACACTCAATCATAATTAGCATATTATAATACATTTTGGATAAGTGGTATAAACTAACACAAATTAAACTGATAAATGGCCTCTGGAATTTGTTTTTTAATTATATGGTGGAATTTACTCAATTGAAAAATAAACTTCAGCAGGAGAGTATAGCTCAAATGGTAGAGTACATGCTTAGCTTGCACGAGGTCCTGGGTTCAATCCCCAGTACCTTCTCTAATAATAAACAAACAACTTAATTACCATCCCTCTAAAAAAAACTTCATGTCTTTCATCTGTCAAGATTCAAGATTATTTAAAAAAATGAATTGACCAAAATTTAATATAATTTAATAATTTCTCTAGAATATCACTACCTTTAGATTCTGTCGTTATCAAACCACCCTCCCCAATCCCAACTGAAGGAAAAGGAATGCAGTGATCACTTTTACTTTCTTGACATACTTCATCAGGTACTTATTTCTTTCCCAGAGAATCAGAAAGTGACCCTTTCCCTGGCACAGAGGTAGATCCTAATTAGTCTAAGTCAGTGTATAGTGTTTCCTGGTAATTATGATCAATCCAGGGTAGGCCTGGTTGATCCCCAAGCAGGTTAAAAGGGGAAGTTTTAAATATTTCATGCATCTAGGAGAGAGGCTGTCTCTTGTTCTGGAGGCACGTAGCCCTACTTGCCATAGGCAACTCTGATGCTATCATGAGGAAAAGCAGCCTTAGAAAGAAGCCGATACTGAAAATAACAGGGAGAAAATATATAATCAGAGGCACTTAGGCCCTTAAGGACATCATAAGCCGCTGATTCTTATTTCCTTAGTTCCCATTACATGAGATCATGAATTTACTCATTATTTCAGCCAGGTTTGTTACCAGTAGCCCAAAACATCCTAGATGCGGTAACACTAACATTACAAAGCATGTATTTTAAACAGAACTTCTCTAACAGAATGTGAACATATTTAGCAGTACCTTAGAGTCTGTGATGTTTGCCAGATTCTTAGGTCTCATCTTGATCTCCCTGGTTTCAAGTTGCATGAGCAATTTTTTATAGTAAAGTTCCAAATCTTCTCGAAGTTTTGTTAAAATCTCCTCCAACGATGCTGTCAATTTCTTTGTTTCAATGTACTTTTTCTTCCAAATATCACAGGCTATGAAAAGAGAAAAGGCTATAGTTTGATTAAACTTTTCAACCTGAAAAAGACCCTAGAGTTAATTTAAACCATTCCTCTCCCCTCTCCTTCCCCTCTTATATGCTGAGGAAATTAGAGCTAAGATAATAAAATGACCTGCCTACAAATATAATAAAATAGTGATAAATTCAGGAACCAAAACCAAGTTCCTCTTTAGGCTTGTAACTTATTTTTAAGAAAATCTTTCTTAAAAATACTACTTATAGCAAAATGTTTATATTTTTAATTTTGATTACTTTAATCCATAATCTGATTTGAATTCGCTATTTATATAATTAAAACTAAGAAAAGGCAAAAATATATTTTTTCAGATTTTCTTTGTTTTTTTAGCCCCTAAAAAAACTTATTTTGTGAAATCAGCTGATTTTGATTTATCTTTTATCAAAATTATTCCAAATATATCCCCAAACTTCTGTAGGGCAGAGTTTCTTAAACCTGAGACTTCTGATTGAGAAAATTCAAAATGAAACTGTGCCAGTTTAGAGACATCAATGAGCATCTAAATATAAACTTAACAGGAACACAAACTGCAAGCTGGTATATCAGAATATGCTTATGTTTCTTATTTTAAGATTATCAAAGAAATGAAAACCCCAAATTAAAAAATTCTATAAGGTGATTTAGTTAAAAGTATATAACCATATATATATGTGTGTGTGTGTATATAAAAAGATTTTAGCTATTCATTTCCCTCATGCCCTATATCCAACCCCTCAGCAAGGTCTATCGCTACCATTGCCAAAATACTGACTTCAGCCTCTGCATGTTCTCCCTTCTTCAATGCTGCATTCCTCATCAACCCACTCTCATCTTTTGAAAGCTGTGTTACCTTTTGAAAAGTCTCTCTGCTTCCACTCTTGCCCCTCAGGCTATTCCATACAGTAGCCATTCTGACGTTTCTAAAATATTTTAAAAATCATGGAAATCTCTAGCTTAAAAATTCTCCAATGGCTTCCCACATTACTTATAATAAAATCCAAATTCTTGAAGGAGCCTATCTGTTCCTTGCTGACCTTTTGATTTTCTCCCTCTACATTCCTCCTTATTTATCACACTCCAGCCACACTGGTCCTTAATTCTGCAAGCTTAGTTCTATCTCTGCACCTTGACTTTTAGTGTTCCTCCTGTTCAAACTCTTTTCCCCCTATCTCTTTACATGCCTGCCATTTTATTAATCAGACCTGAAGGATATCTCCTCAGAGAAGCCTTCCTTGAACACCCCAGCTAAAACATCTCTCCTGTTCCATCCCTCTTTACTTCGCTCTTTTAAATGGATTTAATGGCTCTAATCAGTAGCTGATATTGTCTTATTTGTTCACTGTTTGTCTCCTCCCATTAGAGGCAAGTTCCTTAAGGGCAGGGCCATGTTTGACTTGTTTACTGCCGTAACCTCAGCATTTACAACAATGCTGAGAAGTCAGGCACATAGTAGACTCAATAAACATTTGAGAGCTGATACATGCCTTTTATCTAGAAACATTCCTGTTGAAATAGAAAGTGACTAATCATTTCCATTTTATAAATAGAAAGAGTGAGGCACAAAGAAGAGAAACAACTTGCCTAAGTAAAAAGATTATTCTGGTATTAGAATCCTGGTCCTGTGATCTCTAATCCATTACTCAAATTTGATAAAATCGCTCTTTTAACAGTACAACAAGGCCAAATCATTGCCACCACTTCTGGGATATACTTTAATTACGAAGTAGAACCTGAAGAAATACCCCCTGACATTGTCCATAACCTCCAGGCAAACCTAGTCCTGAAGCAACAGTTTTGCTGTGAATTAACAATCTTAAAAGCAGTTAATCCCCGTATATACCTTTTACCCTTTTTATCCTCAGATACAACCCAAAATACAGGCCTCTTAAATTATTTAACATCTCTCAAACCATTTTCCTATACTTCCTCCACCTTGGCTCATTTTTCCATTTCTACCACCCTAACAACATTTTCTAATTCTTTTGCCGGGAAACTATTTTTCCTGCCTCATTTATCTCATTCATTCATTCATGCATTCAGTTTAGCAAAGCAGACAGACACACACACCAAAAAACTGAGCACCTAGGAAGACTAAGGCACTGCAAGAAGGCTTCCAGAGTGATACCCAAGCTGAGATTGAAAGACTAGTAGGAAATAGCCAGGAATGGGGGAGAAGGGAGCGGAAGGAGATAGGAAGAGATGCAGCCGACAGAGGGAAAACAATGCCTGACGGCCTGCAGCCCAGAGGCGGCACGCTCCAGCTTCCAGGGTGTCTACCACTTTTCCTGGAAGCCCTCCTTCCTCTCCTCCATCTAATTTAGGCGTTTTCTACCTCCGTACTCCTATGCACAGGATTTGTAATTCCTTTATCCCAGCAGTCATCAGGATGTATCACTACTGCTGAACTTGACCATCATTTCCCCACTGCACTGAAAGCACTTTGAAGGCAGGGACAAAACTGTGTTGGCCTATTAGTATCTCCTCCGTAGAACAGGGGCTAAATTCAGTAGGCACTTAATAAATACTTCATTCATTAATAAATGAATGTTAAAATGAATAAACAAATGTAACTTTAAAAAAAATTGAATTTTACTAAAAATATGTTGTGTTTATTATATAAAGTAGAATTAAACAATGATTTCACCTTTCCTATACTGAACTTATATCTATAGTGTACCACTTAAACTATACTAGTAAAATAGTAAACATTATCATTTTATCATTTACTCCAAAGGCATAAGTTATGTAAAATTTGAGTTTCCTTTATAGTGATAAAAGATGTGTAACAAACTTTACCATGATATTGCTCCAATTTGCCTTGTTCAAATAGCCTTTCAGTTTTTTTTATTAGTTCTCCTCTAATTCTTTCCAGATATCTTCTTTCTTCCTTCACTTGTTTCATTTGTTCGATAATCTTCTCTCCTAAATGATTATAACCCATACTCATCAATGTCTAAAAGCTAAAAGATGGTTCATATCCTAAAATACAGATTAGAAAACTAAGAAGTGCTTAAAACAGCAAGTATACATTTTACTGTTTTTCTAGCTGCAGTATAGCATTTGCCACCATGGAAAACACTGAGAAGTTATTTCGGTAAATAAGAGTGATACACAGGGGACCTATATATATGTAAACAATACAGTATGTCTTTTCTGCATTTATAGTCATGTAGAGAAACTAAGTAAAGCTCATGTAGTTATACTTCTTGGCTTAATTCTTTAAGTGACTTTATCTTGGGTCTAAAGTTCTTGTACTTAAATCTTACATGGAAAATGCATATATTAGAGTATATACTTAAAGAGCAGAAACAATATTAATGACATACATATGCAGTAATCAACATAATAGTTAAAAATAATTTAACTTTTTGTGGTAAAATATACATAACTAACCATTTTAACTATATTTAAATGCACAGTTCAATGGCATTGTACACATTCAGTGTTCTGCAACCACCACCCCCATTCATCTCCAGAACTTTTTTATCTTCCCAAACTGAAACTCTGTACCCACTAAGCAATTAACTCTCCATTCACAATATTCAATTTTACTTCACAAAATCATCTGTATTATCATACTTACTCTCAATCTGTAATAAAGAGATATCAGTTATTCTTGGAGAAAGAGCAGGTCGACAAGGAACTGAAGGAAAATCAATAAGATCTGGTAGGGTGAGGTAGTCGGTTTTACTTATCTGTAAGCAAACATGAAAATCAGGGCGACCTGGTAGGATGACACATCTGTAAACATCCGATAATGTGCAACAGCAATGCATTGTTTTACTTATGTGGTGATGAACTCCCAAATCTGCCTTTGTAACTATAGACCCTGTCTTGTGCTTTAGCTTCCTCATTCCACTATTACTTGGATATTATACACAGGAGCTTTAAACTTCAAATTTAAAAAGAAGGGGAAAAAAATCCATATTCCTTTCTAAACACGACTTCCTTCCAAGATTTCTGATTTCAGCCACTTGTTATGATAACTTTTAAATGTTGCTCAGATGCCTATTGATTTTTTTTTCATCTTGAGCCAATTCTGATCATTTATTTTTGCTTAGAGAATTAGAAATCTTATCATATTTTTAAATTTTAGCATACATTTTACTCATATTTTATCACCTCTGTATTTGTGTTACATTGCCTTCATCTCATCTAATTTTTGTGTTTCTACCTGTTTTTGAGAAACCACCTCAAGCCTTGCCAATGTTGACGTTTCTCCCACTACCACTTTGTAGATCTTGAATTGTTTTCAATCCTACTAGGCTTTTTACTTCTGGAACTTATTAGTTTCTACTTTTAACTTCATTAAGCCCTCACCCCTACTTTTTTGTTTCATTATTCTTTTCTAGTTTATTGCATTTTATTTTCTTGACTTACAAGGTCAGGTTCCCACGGGATAATGGCAACTACCTAAATTAAATTAAATCCACATATGCTTTCAACTACTATAAAGGGAAAGCAAATAAAATCACCCATAATTTACGTCAATATCATAACTAGAATACAGAATCTTCTAATTTACATATATTTTAATTCACATGTAAGTGTGGAAATAAATACCTTAGACCAGCAGAGTGTGCTCAGGGGCCACACTTGAGCAGAGTCAGATGGGAACTATGCATTAGAGAACATTACACTCAGACAATACAGTAAGTAAACATCATCACAATAAAGGAGAGGGTCCTGCATGTGGTGGAGGAATACTGAGAGTAAGGGTATGAACTGGCAAATCAGAGCCCTTCGTATGAGAAATCCAAAAGAAAGGGGCTTTTAAAACATAGGGAGCCAAAGGTGGTAATTAAGAGAAGGCATAACTGTTGGATGAGAGGAAATGCTTTGGAAGCAAGAGCTGCTCCTTCAGGGTTAGATGGTAAGACAAAAGAAAGTGGTCACGATAAGAGCTTTGTTGAACTAAATTAGTAGGAAAGAACCCAAAGAAAGAAGACCACTTCCCCTAAAGACCTCATCTATTTAAAAATACATAAATAACTGCATTTCACTATCACTGAAGAGAGCACTCAATCTATGAACTAGAATAAACCACCGGAACACCACTCCCTCTCTGTAAGAACACCTGCTGCTACTCAAACAGAAAAATTCAACACAAATGAACACGGACAACATCTACAAAATAATCTATCATCCAAAGTTGCTTTTTGAAAACCCACAAAATTTAGAACTAAAAAAACCCAAAACAAAACCAGCAGCAAAGAAGCAGAGAAAAGCTTAACAATATTCCCAACATAGATTAAAGTACTTTTAAATACTAATGAATACTATAAATAATAAAATTAGAAACTCAGAATAAAAATGAAAAAAAATAGGAAGATGTAAAATGGAAACTGACCAAACTGAAGAAAGAAATTAAAGAAAAAACAGAATTATCTCAGAAATAAATAGCAGGTATCCAAAAAAGGAAAAGGTATGATAAATAGGTAAGATACGGTAAGGGTAATGGAGAATAGAGCTAAAAGGACAAAGAAAATGAAACATAAAGAAAATAGTAAACTGGATCAGAGAGAAAGTAATAGATAAAAGGTAAGGAAGACCTAAGAGGAGACTAGTTAGGGTCCCTGGGGGGAAAACACGGAATGGATCTGCTATTTAAACTTTTTTCTAGAATTAAAATTTCTTGAAATAAAAGAAGTCCTGATCTGCATACTGGAAGGGCCCACTGGGTATCCAGAAAAACCGAACTTAGAACTCTCAACTGAGACATAGCCTGATAAAACTACCGCACATTAGAGGAACGCTCTGGCTTTCCAGACAAAAATACCCAAGCCAGTTTACAAAGAAAAGAAAATCAGTTTGGTATCATACTTCTTAACAGTAACATATAAAACAAGACTTCAGTAGAGCAACATTTTAATAAACTCAAAGAAAAATTGTGTAAACCAAGGATGTTACAGCCAATCAAGCTATCCTTCCAGTATCAAGGCTCTAAAGCAGGAATAAGCAAATTTCTCGTGCAAAAGACCTTAGAGTTAATAATTTAGGTCTTGTGGGCCACATATGGTATTTGTCATAATTCTTCTTTTTTTCAACTTTTTTTAAAATGTAAAAAACGTTTTTAGATCCCAGGCCTCACAAAACAGGCTGCAGGCACTGTTTGCCTACTCCTGCTCTAGACAAAGTTTTAAATGCACAAGAAGTAAGGGACTGTACTTACAAGCTTTTCCTTGTAAGTGGAACTTAACCGAACCAAGAAATGGTTGAAAAGTCTTCTGCAAAACAACTGGCAGTAAGTGCTGAACATATTTAATTATAGATCTGAGACTAAAACAAAAGTGAGGTAGATAAGACCAGAAGCAAACCCCATAAATGTTCTGTTCTTTGACAAAGTAGAAATAACACAACTGAAAGTATATGAGAGGAGAAAGGAGAGGGAAAGATTACTTTTTAATTGCCCTGAATATAAAAGTAGGAGTCAGAGAATAATTTTAGAGGCTACAAATCAAAATTAGGAGCATAAATTTAAAGAAGGGAAAAACGAGGGCTAGGAATACTAGCATAGGTTTGTATTAGTATAAAGTTAAACATTATAAACATTAGAACAAAGATTCAACCTTCCCAAATACTGAGGAGCGTAGTTCAAATAAACTGCATAACAACACACAGTAACTAAAACATGAAGTAAAATGACAAATCTGAGGTCCAACATATAAGTCTTAGCAATAACATAAGTGGACATAACTCATCTACTAAATGAAAACGACTTTCAGGCTGGCTCACATAGTAAAATCCAACTCCAGGCAGTCTGCTCAAGACATACCTAAAACAAAGCAATTCAGAGAAGCTAGGGGAAAAAAAGTGGAGGAGGAAGATAGGAATATACCAAATAAATGTAAACACAAAGAAAGGAGAAGTTTGTATCTTGATATGTGATAAGGGAGAATTCAGGATGGAAAAGCATTTAATGAGTCAAAGAAGGACACATCACAATGCGAAAGTGATATTAATATTCACATAAGAATAACTTTGTGCCAAACAATACATATAAATCTAAATAAATAAAAAAACTATATCACAGGAGATTCTAATATACTATTCTCAGTCCAAGACATAGAAAGAAAATGTGGGAAAAAAGAAGGATATGGAACACTTAAACAACATATCCAGCAAGGTACACCACAGACAAGCACAGAGTAGGAGAAAAATTTACAACATACATAAGCATCAAAAGACTACCTTCCAGAGTATATTAAAAACTCCTACTAATCAGAAATACATGGCAGACAACACAGTAGAAATACCTGAAACAACAGCTCAAAAAGCAGTTACCAAAACAGAGTCCACAAAATATAAAAACATGATCAACTTTATGGGTAATCTGGGAAGTCCAAACCACAGTGAAATAGCATTAAGCTTCCCACCAGATGGAAAATTTTTAAGGTGTGAAGATAGCATGTTTTGTTAATATCCAGCAACAATAAAAAAAATCATTTGCTAAAGATGGCATGCCTTTGCTCTCAAACTCAAAGGCTCTGAGCTGTGAGTCTCCTATCAGGGCTTGTCTCAGAGCCCATTCAGCATTCCAGTCTACTACGTAGCAAGCATCACTGGACCTGATGGATGTTAGCACACAAGTGGCAGCACTGCTTGCTGTGTCTCTTGGATCACCTTGTGAGCCTCCTCTTGCTTTGGGCCCAAAGTTGACAGTCTTTTGGATTATTTGATTTAAAAAAAAAAATGGAGCAATGCATCTGAATGCAGTAAATCTCTCTCCAAATTCCAAAGAGGTCCATTAGGTGACTCATTCTCCATGGTAGCTGGGGCAAGGCACAAAAACCTGGCTTTTACTTCAAAGGGCATATCTCATCATGTCCCAGAGCATGAAACGCTCAGAAATCTCACTGAATTTCAGGCTCCTGAATTTTCTTGAGGGTTATCTCCCTTCCTCTACATGTAAAATTAGAAAACTTAGACATTTTAGTCTGCAGTTTCATTTCACTTTCAGTATAAATATTATTTTGCAATGCAACATCTAAACAAAAATTTAAAATTCATACCTGATTGTCCTCTCTTCTAATGATATTAACTCTATCATCTTCATTTTTCCAAAGAAACTGACTTAAAGGAAATGACAGATTTGAAGGTCATATTAAAAAATGATTCCATGCATATTAACTTTTCATGTCTTAAATTTTTATTCAATATTCTAGAAACACAAATAAAAATTAAAATTTTAAAAAGTCAGCTTGAACCATGATCTTTCAAACTCATAAAGGATTAACATAAACTACATTTAGTATGAGTTATAAAACAACATTTCATTATAGCTAAATTCAAGTCACAGTCCAATATCTATAGCAAGGTAAACTAACTGCAAATTTTGTAAGCATACTTTGTTTATAGTTCTTTTGTGGCTAATTGTTTAGAGAATTCCTTATCTTAATTTCAAAAGACTCTATGCAAAACTGTGGTTTAAGTAGTATAATTTTGATTGAAATAATACCAATGTGAAACTCAAGCATAATGATTAGTTTACTAATAACCAAGAATCTAAGAGAGGCAGAAAAGCTAGTTCTAAGAGAGGCAAATGAAGACAGAAACTTTTCTGTCATTAGGTTGCCCTGATGACAAAGGATTACAACAGAAGCAATTTAAACAACAAATTATCCCCTCATTAAATTAGAGAGAAATATTTGTCTATAATAGTAAAGATCAGAATTAAGATAATTATAACTAAAAATATCACTAATTTTACTCATATTTTTGTTCTAACTAGAAGTCTTCATAACGTGGCCTGGATATCTCACTTTTTTCTTATAGATTTAGATTATGACATGTAGAATCAACATCCATACTAATTACCTTTTTTTCCTGCTACAATGATCATTATCTGAATCTTCCAGCGACCCTGGCAATTCAGAATTTCCCACTTGATTTTTTCCGGTCTGAGTTTCACTTGGAGTGGTTTTTCCCCCAGCTGATGTTGATGTTCATCCATAGCAAATAAAGTTCATAATAATAAGAAAATACTAGAATAATTTTTTTGTTTTTATATGTACATACTATATATTCATGTCCCATGTTTCAGAATCTCCATGAACTTTACTATACCTGATATAAGGCAATAATTTCCAAGCTGAATTTCATAAAACATTAGCTTATATGAAAGGAGAATTCTTTGGTCCATGCAGTTTGGGAAAAATTGGATTAAACAATCCTAACAGGAACACAAATCACACACACACATCCCCCTACCCACCCACACACACACACACACATCCCTATTGCAGGATTTCTCTGTTTTTATGTACAGTGTGAAACTGCAAGAGGGGGTAAGTTGGGTTTTACTCCAACTTAGTTGTCTTTAGAAAGCTTTTGCCAAAAGCGTTTTTTACAATAGTATTCTGAGGATCCTTCTCTGGAAAGCACTGGTATAAATACAGAGCATATATGTCATTTGTTATTTCATATACATTTCCATTTATAAAATCTCCCTTCATCTTAAAAGAACTTCTCCATATAGGAAAACCACACAATGTCTTTAAAACATTAACACCAACACTCCACATGATCTATGTGAACAAAAGATCTATGAACCTGACATTGTTATGCAGATTTTTTTCCACTTGGAGAAATAAAGTAGTTCTTTCAATTTAGAAAAAATTAGAGTCATGTTAATATTTGAAAAGTTATTTTACAAGAGTTGTCACAATATTTTGCAAACTGAAGCCCATATTGGTTTAATTTTAGCCTGGTTGCTACCACTTATTTCCCAGCTGGCATTGGAATAGTCATTTAAGGACAACAAACAGGGATTTTCTAAAAGATATATTCAAGGCAAAATGAACAAAAAATGGATATATCAGCTGTTTAAAAGCTAATAGTAAAGTACCACTCCCCTCACCTGTCCCAGAAAAGAAACAACAATGCAAAACTAAATAGATTCTGAATTACATTTTGGTAGGAATACAGGGCATGTATCTCTTATAGCTAATTATAGGGCATGATGCAATGCACCATTCAATTCCATATGCAATTTAATAAGAAAAAGAAAGCAGGTCTATTTACTTTTGAAAAAAGAAACAGTGTTTTGAGAACAATAGTAAATGTCCATATAAAACATTACAGATGCACAGAAAAGGGAGTAATAACTGTGAAACTATGTTTTGAACTGTGAAATGTTTGCCTGGCAAAGAAGAGAGAAAGAGGAATTTAAGCAAAGAAAATGGCATTTGCAAGACAAAGTACTCACGTATAACAGCATTTTTGGCAATAGTGAAAAAAGTTCAGTGTTACTCTAGCATATTGCTGTAAAGCACGGGCTTTAGTCAAACACACAAGAGCTCAGATTCTGGCATTATCACAGCAGGTGTGACCTCAGGTAAGTTATTTCTCTAACTTCAGTTTCTTTATCTCTGAAATGGCACAGTGCATGTGAAACACTCAGCACAATACCCAATCCTTAGAAGTCTCTAGACTTCAAGTTCTGATTTCTATTCCATTGCATTTCCAAGTTCAGGTCTTTATTACCTCAGTCTAGTCTCCATATTGTCACCTATGTTGTTTTTCTAGAACTGAAATCCAAACATGCCACTCCTATTAAAAACTTCAGATGGCTTCCCATTGCCTACAAAATATTTTAGCTTTGCAAGCAAGGATCTTACGGATCAATCCCTACCTACCTCCAGTTGTACTACAGGGTACTTCTTTCTCCCCTTCCTACCACCAAACTGCAATAATAATAGTACTATTACTAATAATACCTAAAAATTGTTGAACCAACAACCACATTAAACAAATTCTGAAAGCTCCATCCATATCATAACCTATATGAAGAAAGTCTTCTGGAGTTAGGCAGTGAATAATCTACATGGCCAAACATTTGTAGCCCTAGGTTTGAAGTCAGAGTATGAAGAGTTCTCTATGCTGTCTTAAGGAATGTGGGCCTTAAACAGTAATCAGAGAGACTTTCAAGGGTTTTTTAAGTAGGGAGATAAATAATTCTACCCGAAATAAGAAGAATGATGCTGACAGCACTCAAGAGGATAGATTGGAAAGGAGATTATAGTACAAGCAAGGAGGCTAGGCAAGGTAGTTTTTAAGGTTCCTTTAGACTAAGAATCTATCATTCCACAATGAGGAAATTTTCAAAGCTCAAAGTCTGAACAACTGGATGAATTATGAAGTGAAAGAAGTTAAGCGAGCATACTGGTTTGGGGGCAACGACAGAGTTGAGTATTACACATGTTAAAGTTGAGGCATGTCAAAGTGTAGAGCTGTGTAGCACTGACCCATGGGAAAGAACAAAAGATAACGAATGGAAGAGACTGTCCATTTTAACGTGCAAAAATGGGTAAAGCAATACTTCTCTCCTCCTTCATTAAAGGACTTACAAAACATTCTGTGCATATTCCTACCAGCCATATTTGATGATGTCACAATGTTAGAGCTCAGATATTTTGTATTCTCAGGCACTACTAAACAGAAGCTTGACAATTTTAAGAAACTGCACAACTGTCATCAATAAATGGTAATGTACAAATGGAAAAAAATTAAGGAACTCCATTTCACATTACACATAAAAATTAATTTCTGATATATTAAAGAACTAAATGTGAAAGGCAAACCATAAAATGTTTGTAATATAATACAGGACACTATTTTCATAGTCTCAGGGTAGGAAAAAAGAATTTTTAAAGAAGGCATAAAAAGCATTAACCATAAAAGAAAATGGCAATAAATTTGACTGTATTAAAATTTAAGAACTGCAGTTCTACTTCTGCTTAGAATGTAGAATGTCAAAAGAGTCCTCCCACCTGAACAAGGAGAAACACTTATATAATCTTCTTGAACTTATATAATTCTTCTTGAACTCATCAGAGTTGAGGTAGCAAGGAATCAGATTTCAATTCCCTCGAAAGAGAAAATAAACTAATTGTTTCATTTTTGGCAGAGCACAGAAGGAAGTGGTAACTGTCTTAAAAGAAGTAAGAATAAAACAGCTAAAGTCTTAAGGAATTCTAAAGGCTAACGTGGGCTATCAAGACAATCTGTAATCTCTCATTCCTAGACACTAAAGACAGTCAATACTTAATAGCTACCTCCTTCCATGTGCCTGTATCACATGCTCACAAGAAAGACTGGGGGCAGGGCAGGAGACTCAAAAGAGCCATCAATGGCACACAGGTATGAAATGTCATCCTCTTAACACTCCTCTCTCACACAAAGCAAAAGCTTTAAGCCAATGGGGAGGAGTAGGAAACTCCCATCCTAGGGTTCAGACAAAATTCCACTGGCTCTGGAGGAAAAATGGAAGCAAAAGCATTCTACCCTAGAAGGAAAAGCAGATAACTTCCCTTCCACCAACAGTAGCCTTGTAAAGTCTTACCACTGAGGAGGTGGTAGGAAATCATCCCACCACCAGTCCTAGGAAAAGGCAAAAGGAATTGTAGAAGCAAAAGCTGCCAGGATCATCTTGGGTCCAGGATCACACACATAAAAAGCATAGGTTTACTGGGTGAGGGGAAAGAAATTTTCCTAAATTTAAAAAGTCATTTTCCCCTTATTTTTAAACTCTTTAAATGATAACTCACAGTATAAAGTAAAAATGGTAAAAAAAAAAATACAGAGTTTATAACATATGTAGAACTAAGATGTATAATAATACCACAAAAGATTTGAGGGAAGAAATAGATTTATATTGCTAACGCTTTTACACTATATAAAAAGTTGTATGTGTTTTGAAAGTATACTTGAAATTAAAGGTGTATAAGTGCATAGCCTAGAGAAACTTTCTTAAAGGACAAGATAGTAAATATTTCAGATTTGCAGACCATATGGTCTTTGTCACAACTACTTAACTCTGTAGTACAAAAGCAGTCATTGACAATATGTAAACTATAGGGCATAGGTGTGGTCCAATAAGAGTTTATTTATAAAAAATAAGCCATAGGGCATGGATTAAAATTTAAAAGATAACAATAGGTGTTTGCTAACCTCCACTCTACAGTAACAACGTTTTTTAAAGTGAGAAATAACTAATGAGCCAATAGTAGGGCTAAAATTGAACCATAAAACAACTACTCAATCAAGAAAAGCCAAGAAAATAAGAAAAACTAAGAAAATAGAAGAGATGAGACAAACATAAAATAAATAGTAAGATGGTAGACTTAAAACTAACCACATCAATAATTGCATTAAATGTAAATGGTCTAAACAGCCCTAATAAAAGGCATAGATTGCCAAACTGGATTAAAAAGAAAGATTTAAATATGTGCTGTTTATAGGAAATCCATTTTGAACATAAAGTCAGATAAAAGTAAATGAATGGAGAAAGATATACTATGTAAATATTAATCAAAAGAAAGCTAGAATAACTATATTAATGTCAGACTGAGTGAACTTCAAAATAAAGACCATTACCAGTGATAAAGAGAAATATTACATAATAATATAGGGAACAATTCATCAAGAAAACATAATAATCCTAAGCGTGCCTGCATCTAATAAAGCACTTCTAAATAAATAAAGCAAAACTGATAGAGAGTTGAAAATGTCAATATTTTTATCTCTATAATTGTTAGAGCATGTTGATAAAACTTAAGGATTTTTTTCATCAAAATAATCATAAACAGAATAAAAAGACAAGCCACAAACTAAAACCTAGAATGAATTATATACAAACACACACACACATGTGCTGGAAAAAATGCATGTACATAAAATGAACTAATACTTAACATAAAATGGGCAGAACACTTGAATAAAGACAAATCCAAATGACCATTAAACATATGAAAAAATGTTCAACCAAAGAGAATCATTAGAAAAGAAAAATAAAATGTCTGGAATTAAAAATTCAATGTAAGGGTTTAACAGCAGATTAGCTAAAGAAGGAATCAGTAAGCTAGATTTGGTAGAAAGATCTGACACAATTATCCAGAATGTGGTCTGATAGAATGGCATGAGTATGGTTCAATAGGAACTTTCTGACATTGGTGCTGGGTACGACCACTTTGGAAAACACATGGAAATTATTTAGCAAAGTTGAACATGTGCATTCAAGGCTAATGCTAGGTATATACTCTTTTTAGATCATCTTGCACATGTACATTTAGTAGTCATGTGCAAAAATGTACAAAATCATATGTTCGCCCCAAACAGCAAACAAGCCAAATGTCCATCAGCAGATAGGTAAATAAATTATGATATATTCATACAATAGAATGTTATACAACAATAAAAAGAAATGAAATAGTATTATATAAGACAACATGGTTGAATCTTACAATTACAATGTTGAATAAGAGAAGAAAAACCCAAACAAAGTGCTTTCAATATGATTCTGTCTAAATAAAATTCAAGAGAGACAAAACTAAACTGTGCTAAGGAATGCATATTCAGGTTGTAAAACTATAAAGAAAAGCAAGAAAATACTTATCTCAAAAAAATCAAAGTAGTAATTATCTCTACTGGGGAAGGAGGAGGATGTGACCAGAAAGAGGATGGAATACAAGGTTGAAAAGTCCTTTTAAGAAGAAGAACAGTGAAATAAGCCAGACAGAGAAAGACAAATACCATATGTTATCACTTATATGTGGAATCTAAACAGGAAAACAAATGAATGAATGTAGCAATAATAATAACAACAACAAAAACATTACTTAGAAACAGCCGTTAAACTTCTAAAAAAATAACAGGATAAATGCATGAAGCTATATTTAGAAAATTGTTACTTGCAGCACTATTCATAACAAGAATATTAATATGTAGTTGTATAAATAACTTATACCACAAGGGAATGCTATAATGATGTAGACCTACATTTAGTGACATGAAATGTGTATGATATATTCTAAAATAAAAGAAGAACATTTAAAAGAGTTTGTATGTGTCCTCATTTTTTAAAAGTTAAAAAAATATTTATACACACAAGAACTGAAAAAAAAGGGAAGAATATACACCAAAATACTGACAGATACTAACAGCTATCTCTGGATGGTGGAATTATTGTTAATCTTTATTTTCTTCTTTATACTTATTGGGGTTTCTAGAACTTTTTAAAATGAGCATACACTAGATTCTGACTTAAATTATAGTTAATTTTTTTGGTGTGAAGCACCAAGGAATTAATACTATTTAAAAATCACACTTACATAAAATTCATAGGATTAAATACTCTCACCAAAGATTTTTGGAGGTTTTGTGCAAGGAGCATAGTTCAGGAAGTTGGCCAGTAGCCCAGGGGATGAAATATGACACCACTCATGAATGTATGTAGTGTCATTGTCCACTTTACTAGCTACTTTTCAGGAAAAATAAAATTCCACTCAGGTGTTTTTCCATTTAACTTCTAATTGATATCATGATGGGAAGGCTGTATTTAACATTGCAGGGACATAAAGAAGGAAGTAAAGACACTTCCTGAGCATATTAAATATGCCTAAGATTAAAGAAGGGGCTGAGTCTGGAGCATCACTGAGTATAGCAAAAGCTTATACGAACTGCTATAACTGAAGGTGAAGAAAATGCAACCAGTTAAGAATAAATGTATTTTGTGGCTGTAATGAAGGTTGTCGTTAGTTTGGGAGAAATTCATTTAATTCATAAATGTTTAGTATATTTGCTTTTCTAACACAATGTATTTCCTGTATGCAATAAGGTAAAAAAGTTCAACTGACTTTTTTTCAATTCTTAAGGGTGTAATACCAGTTTTATTTTCATGATTATAAGTTTAATTTTGATTTTTTAAATTACCTACCACTTTTTAAGAACTGACTTATCATCAAATTAATGAGTATAAACAGAAAAAAATTTAAACTCTTTGGAATATAAATGTATCCCAACATTAAAGTTGTTTTGCTTTGGTTTGATACTGTTTTCCTGGCTAAGATCCTTGTGGACTTACCATTAATAGCAAGGTTTTATACAGCAATCACTTCCTTTTTCTTCTCCTTTAGCCTTAACTTTAGCTGAAACTATTATAAATGGTGGTAGAGTTTATTTAAGCGCTGTAGTGTATTTTGATTTTATTTTAGCATAGAACATAAATTGTCTTTTTTCCTCCCAACTGGCAAAACTATTTTTAAATATCTCCAAATTGAATTGTAGCTTTCCTCCTGTACTGCCTGTATTTGTAAGGCTAGATTTGCCCAGAATTTGTTCACAGACCTGACTACTAAAATGTACTATAACAACCTCTTTGTCTTTCCCATTCCAGTTGAAATCACCTTCTTTCTGATTCTTGTTAAGAAGCTCTTTCAAAGTGTTTTCTAGAAAACTGGGGTCTGTTCCATGTTCTTCCTTTGGCAAAGTTACACTAACTGGTCTGTGGCTTATTCCATCAGCAACACCATTATTAGTCTGCCGCCCGTCTAAAGAAACTGTTGATGATGCTGAATAAATATTTCCTAAATGATCCATTATAGGAAGCAAATATAATTCTGGTTGAAGAGCCTAAAACATACAGGAAATTATAAAAATTAGTCTATAATTTAAAAAAACAGTAAGTTAAATCAATTAGTATAAGTTTAAAATGTCACATTACATACATATGGAGGAGCAAATGATTTGAGTTTCAGTTCTGATTCCTGCTTTGCCTTCACCTAGAAATAAATAAATGAGAAAATAATTAAAGCTTTTTAATATTTTTCAATCATTTTTACCTTTTTTGTGGAAGGCATATATCCATGACAAAAAAAAATCAAATTTAAAAGCTTGTAACTAAGGTTAGATTCTAGAAAATGTAGAATGTAATTCTATTTCTATTCACTGTATGAAACATAATAGAAATTCTATGCATTTAATAATGATAATTGTGGCTATAACTTGCATGAAGTCACTATGTGCCAGGCACTATTCTACATGCTTTACATATAAAGCTCAGTTAATCCTCACAATACTATGTGACAGGCACACATATTACATGGAGGTCACAGACGAGACTGAGGCAAAGAGAGGTTAAGTAACTTGCCCAAGATTTTACAGCTAGGAAGTTTCCAAGTCAGGATTCAAAACCAGATCATTCTTTGTAAACTTTATTTTCTAAATATTCAATCCATAGAGTCAATCTGTTATTCATCTATTCATTCAACAAGTACTGAGGGCATATTATGTGTCAGGTAGTGTTCTATGGCGTGGGGATACACTGGTAAACAATGCAAAGTCCTTGCTCTCATGTAGTTTATATTCTGCTTGGGGCAAGCAGATATTAAATAAACATGATTTAAGATAGTTCTATGTGATTTATGAAAATAAAACAGAGTGATATAATAGAGAGGAATTAGAGAAAGAATATCTGAAAACTAAGCTGTCGGAGAAGGTCCTTTTGAAAAGATAATACTTGAGCTGAGAACTGAATTATGAAAAGAAGCAGCAAGCTATTTGAAAATCAGGGGGAAGTGATTTCCAGGCAATTGCAAAGATGGTAAAATAGAAATAAGCTTGCCATATTTGAGGACCAAAGGAAGATTTTTGTGGCTAAAGTGCAGAACCGAGGAGAAAATAGTAGTGGATAACATGCTAGAGGCAGCTTGTTCCTGAGGCCCTCCTTATCTCTCGACTAACTGCTGCAAAAGTCTCCTGGTTACAATTCCCGCCTCTAGTCCCTTAAGGCTCTCATCATGTCATCTCTTGCTCAATAATTCCAAAGCTCCAGAAAAAAAAATCCAAATTCATTAGTCTGGCATTCAAGATCTTCAACAAACGACTTTTGCAACTTGTCTACTATTCCCTTTCACAGTCAATGCTCTAAAAAAAAGTGAAGCACTCACTCTTTCCTAGTTGTCTGCTTTGCCACTTCTATGCTCATAGTATTTTCTCTGCTCAGATTCTCCCACCCAACATCTTTGCAAGATCAAACTTTCATCTGTCAAACTCCAAACTGAATATCACCTCTTCCTCAAAGTTCTCCATCTCCCCTCTTTTCTGGCTGGAAGTAATCTTTTTTTCTTCTGAATACACAAAATATGCTATTTTAATTACTTTTATATTTTATCTTCACTACTACACTGAATAGTCTTTAAGAGCAGGATCGATATCCAGTTATTTTTTTCTAATTTTATATATAGAAAGACATCAATAAATGTTTGTTAAAAATAATAAAGTATTAGAAGAACTGTAGAAGCTGACTTAAATAACTGTTAGGTCCCTTTCAATCTAGAATTCTGTGATTGATATTGTATAGTTTTACATATCATGAGAGAGAACAAAAAGTTATGAGAGTTGTTCCCTTTCTTCCCTGCTTAAGGAAAACTAACTTAAAGATTAGTAAATTAATCTTCTGGCATACTATACAGAATTCGAATGACAAAAATTTCAAATCTAGGTGCTGATCCCAAGAATTCCACATAGCAAATTCTTCTACAATACTACTTTGGGGGAAATGCCTATTTTTTCCATTTATTATTCATTATTTAATTTTTTCAATAAGCATTTAAATGCCTTAGAGTACTAAACACCTTGTTAGGCATGGATTATAAAGATAATAGTGAATAAAAGTAAATCCCTGCTATAAATAAAGGAAGCTATATAGTCTAATAGCAGAGTTAGATGTTAATAAATAATCACAGAAGTAAATACATTATAATGATATGTTAACTAGAGTAGAATAGAAATATACTGCATTTTTAAACAGTTTAAATATGGAAAATCTTACCACATTGTAAAACAACTATATTTCAATAAAAAAAGAAATCAAAAGGGGGGGTCAGAAAAAAATGGAAAATCTTGATTAAAAAAATAAACCTTATATAAATATGAGAAACCAGAAACTTTGAGATCTAATTGTTTGCTGGATTGACAATTTCAGCCAGGAAAACGCTCTGCTTAGAAAATGCTGTCACTGAATCGTACAGGCTACAAATACGAGTGTTCAGCAGATAACAGCTGATTCCTCCCCAACTCCCAAAATATGTTTGGGCGGCTAGTTGTGAGAAACCATTTTCTCTAGAACAGAAACACTTGTTTAAAAAGGTTTTAAACACTATCATTTAAATTTAAAAGTATATATTACTTGTATGATCACATTTGATCATATTTAAAATTTGTTTTTCTTTTCTTCCCAAAGAAATTCACACACAAAAACACCCCCATTATTTTAGTGCCTGATAACATGCCAAAAAGGCTTGTCTTTTCTTGATGACCTGTGTGCTTAATGATATTTCAATTTCATTATGATTGAGATTACATATCTCAATGTTAAGGGGTTGAGTTGATAAGCATTTAAGAAACACAATTTGTTAAGGTATGCTTTTGTTAATCAAAAGAAAAAAAATTAAGAAAACTTACCACAGCTAGATTATTTCCAATGCATTTCAGAAATAAAAATTTTTCTGCAACAGCATCTTCACCAAGGAACTCACCAAGACGCTCCCTCAGGGCTTGTAAAGTAAGGTGAGGAGATATTCTGAAATATCATGACATTATCTTATAATGTAAAATGAAATAAGTTTCAGCAATACTAAAGATTCAATAACTTTATTCATCTATCTCAAACATAGAGATTAATTTAATGTATCACAGATAGCTTAATATATTGTGTTTCTACATTGCTTGGTATTTTGCAGGCCTGAAGGCCTATAAATATTATTTTAAATAAATGATTAAAAGTCTGCTTTTTAAGTTATGTCAACGAACACTGTTTATATAAGTCCATTTTGTACTAAAAAGGAAAATGCTTGTCTACTTTTCTTATCCACCTTCCAATTTTTTGTTAAAATAAAACTCTGCAATGGAATTTATATACTTTTATACAGATATTGAAGAAGGATTTAGTCACAGGTATTTATTTTGGAAGTTTGCTAGGATTAACTAGTGCTTAACATTTTCTTTGCTGATCAAATGTTGTCAGACTCCACATCTTTGCTCACTGGGGATATTTCATTCCTTAACACCTAAACTTTAATATGTTCTTGTTCTGAGTTCTGGTTTTTCAAGGATCTTATGGGAAACATTTTATAATTAATTGATTCAATTAACAAAGATATACTGAGCCCCTGTATGTGTCAGGCATTGTAAGGGCTGGGAATAAGGCAATCAACAAAACAACAACCTCTGTCCTTATAGGCCTTACAACGTAATGGTAGGAGTGAAAAATTAACAAAATAAGTAAGAAAAAATTTAATTCATAAGACATTGCTAAGTACTATAGAGAAAAATAAAGCAGGGAAGGGAGAGTATCTGCAATTTAAAATACAGTGATCAGAGGTGAAAAAGTATGTGACAATGAATATATGTATGTTCCTACATAACTGAAAAATTGTGCTCTACACTGGAAATTGACACAACATTGTAAACTGACTATAACTCAATAAAATAAAATTTTAAAAAATACAGTGATCAGAGAAGACCAAACAAAAAGTAATATTTGAGCAAAGACCTGAAGGAGATGAGCTAGCATATGTAAAGGCAGAGAGCATTTTAGACAATAGGTCTAACGATGATTCTGAGGTAAGACCATGTCTGATGTGTTCCAGAACAGAAAGGAGGTTATTGTGCTTAAAGAAAATGATGGGGAAGATTAGGAAGACTGAGGTGTGCTGAAGAGAATAACAACAGACAGTTAGATCACACAGTGTCATGTGTGGTTCTGTGAATGTGAAAAAGAAAAAAAATATATATATATATATATATATTATTTCTATTTTTAAATAGTTCAGTGAAAAAGTAATTGTGAAGATACTGGTTTTACCACTATTCCCAGCTCTTCAACAGGTTTCTAATTTCAGGTAATTTCTCTCAATTCTCTTTGTGTACAACCAAAGTAATACACTCTGTTTTCTAGGTGGCAGTACTATGGCTAAGTGACATCTGTTCCTACAGTACTTTTTAACTGTTACATAGTACTATTTATTGATAGTATCCATTAAGTCAGGGACTGGATCCATCACATGAACAAGATATTTTTCACTTATAATTTTTGAATTTCCAGAAAACACTTTTTTCTGCAGAAAAAAAGATTGTTTTTTTCCGGCACATAGTAACATGACTACAAAATACTTGCCTTATAAATCCAGCTGAAATGAATTTGTTAACAACTTCTTTTGAAATGGTATTTAACTTATAGTTCCACGATCCTTCAGGAACATAAAAAACATGAAGTTCCACCAACTGAATAAATTGAGAAGAATGTCAGTTAAAATATTTTAAAAATAAAAAAATCAATTGATGTCCTTTAGAATTTTAAGTTTAATAAACGTAATTGAAATAAACATGGAATACACGTATCCTTCTGAACAAACACAAAAACCAAAATGAAGAGCCAAAAATTTGTTAAGTTGGCTACTTGGCACTTGGAACACATTTTCCCTTGGATACAATGTCATAGATGTGGTCCAAGATTTCCTTAACATCCCTGACATAGTGTTCTTCTGTGGTTTGCAGTAAGAATACCGGATTGCCAAGATCAGCTTTCTTATTACCAACCTCTCCCCTCCCCTGATCCCTACCCACTCAGTTCCACTGGTGTGACCTTGTAGAATCTTTATCCTTTATACATTGTCTCCCTAACATAGCTATGATGATTGCCAGTGCTCAGCACCTGCAAAAGTGTGAATACTTGGGTTTGGGGAATATTTTTGTTTCCCAGAATTCTAGGAAAAACCTATTCCTGACCAGTGATGAGGAAAGGAATGGTTGTTTTCACATAGGGCATGTCTGTAAGTTTAGCTTGTTTGTGCTTATATGTACTGTCATCTATTCTATTCATGTTTTATGATATCAATTAGAATTCTTGTATTTAGAAGAAAAGATTACTACAACAAAGACAGAACAATTACAGCAAATCAAGTCTTATCTTTTAGTCTAATGAAGTTTGCCATTCATGTATATTAAAAGTCAAAGAATTTAAATGATTATATTCTATAATGCTAAATATCTGAGAAAAAGTTTCAAAATTTGAAGTAAATTTGACCCTATCTTAATACCAGTAATTTTATAAGAGATAAAATGGCTCTTGAACTGAATATTTTGCTTGACTTGAAATTACTTATATACTTTCGATTAACCAGCAGTTTAAGATGTTTGTACAGCTCGGATAGTGCAGTTTGCTATATGCTGTATTTTGAATATCAGAACATTTAAAAGATCATTCTCTAGCTATACCATACTAACAGCTAAAACCATACTATACATTAATACTATAATATTTAATACCTGTATTATTAAATATTTGTAAAACCTTCAGAAATCTGAAGTAAATATGACCTCACCCTTTATATAAATGTATTAATATTTTACAGGAGAAAAAGTATTTCTTGAACTACACATTTTACTTTGTTTTTATAAGCCAAGTAATTACTTCAGTATTTTTATAACAATTCATGAACTATAATTCAAAGTGTTTGTATAGATTTTAATTCCATAATTGAATAAGGATACAATACAAAGAAAATACAGTTAGTAAGACATTTCTTGGCCTTTGAAACATTTTGTGATGCAAATTAATTTACGGTGAATTTGGATTTATTCATCCATTCAACAAATATTTACTGTGTGCCTGTATGTGCCAGCATTGCTCTAGACACTATGAATATGTAGTGAATAAAACAAAGATCCTTGCCTGCAGGCAGGTTGCATTCTAATGAGAGATCAGGAAAAGGAGAGGGGTGAGACAAGTGAGGCTCTCACCTCCTGTGCAAAATTTAAAGGAACACCAAAACCTCAGTAATCAACATAAATAATATTTTTAAAAACCTATTCAATGCAAAAAATTCACGATGAACAAAATATCACAAATTTAAAGACAGACTAGTACTACTGGAACCTGAGTGAAAGAGAAAAATATGAACTGCAATGTATACGTTTCTTAAAAAATATATTTTTAATGGTTAACTTTTTCTAGAACAACAAAGTAGTCGAAAAATATTGAAAAAATTTAAAGTCTATATTAAAACTCACAACATTATTTTAAGGTTAAATATTCTATTTATATCAAAACCCAAATTTATTATAATTTTACTTTCTTAGCTTTAATGGAGGCAAACTCATCAAATTAATATTTTCATTAAAAGTATTAACCACTTAAAAAAATACATTAAAAGGTATATAGAGGGGCATATATTTTGTCTTTTCCCTCAGTCTCTAAAATGGCTAAACATAGCACTATTGGATTTCTGTTTCTATTTAAAATGATATCTTGTTCATTGTAGGGTTTTGCATTAATTTTTTTACTTAAAAATCTTTTATTAAAATATTTATCTTAATTACTTAATTTTTTGGTGCCTCTTTAAATTTTGCATCCAAGGCAAGTGACTCATTTGCCTCAGATTAGTCCCAGCCCTGTGAGGGACACAGACAATAAGCAGTAAATATAAAGCACTGGAAAGTTGTATAGGACTTTAGAATGTGGGAGGTACTGGGGGAAAAAGAATAAGTGGACCAGGGTGAGGAAAATAAGGAAGACATAGGAGGGAGTAGGTCTTAGTTTTAAATGGAATAATCTGAGCACACATCTAAGAAAATCAACAATTCCTTAATGTCAACTATTATCTAGTTCATATTCAAATCTCCCCAATTGTCCAATTGTACTCAGACTGTTTTTTCAACCTAGAATCCAATTAAGGATAGTACAGTGCATTTGGTTGTCATGTCTTTTCTTTTAATTGAAATACAGTTGATTTACATATTGTGTTAGTTTTGGGTGTACAACACAGTGATTCAGTTATTTTTTTCAGATTATATTCTATCATAGGTTATTAAAAGATATTGAATATAATTCCTTGTGCTATACAGTAAATCCTCGTTGCTTATCTGTTTTATGTATAATAGTCTGTAGCTGTTAATTTCGTACTCCTCATTTGTCCCTCTCTCTCTCTCTCTCCTCTTTACCACATGTTTTAAAAACCTTAATTTGGAAGAGTTTTCCAGACCTACATTTTTTCTCTTAATGGCCTTGACTTTTTAAAGAGATTGGGCTAATTTTCTCATAGAATGTTCTGCTTTCTGAATTTACCTTATTAACTCCTAAGGTGTCATCTAACTTATTTCCCCAATCCTTCCATCTCTTGTAGACAGTTAATTGTTTGGCTCTCAGTTGACACAAGTTAATCATCTGGGACAAGAATACTTATAAATGGTGCCCTGTATTACTTATTACTTCACATCTGGATATACATTATGCTCTACTTCCAAATCTTGCTATACTTAACAACTATTAAAGGAATAATAGAACAGACTACAAGGGGTAAGAAAATGGAAACTGTTATAAAGTTATTTGAATAATTAAAGTATTAGATGATAGTGGTTCAGACCAAAAGTTAGCAGTAGAAATGATGGAAAGTGGTCAGATTTTGTATATAATTTGAAGTAAGAGGGAATCCATTAGAAGTGAAGTTTGAGTAAGCAGTCAAATATGACTCCAAGGCACTTGTCCTCAGATACTGAAAGCATGAATTTGCCATCAACTGAGATGGGAAGTCATGGTTAGTACAGGTTTGGATGAGGGGGAAGAACCGTAATTCACTTTCAGACGTGCTAAGTTTGAGCTGTCTATTGGTCATCCAAGTGGAGATTTCAAGCAGGCAGTTGAAAACATCAATCTGAGGTTTGGGAAGGAGGATTGGGATAGGAGTATAAATTTGAGAATACTTACCATAAACTTGGTGTTTAAAGCTAGTAGACTGGATGAGATCACAATGAGAGCAGATAGGCAAGAGAACAAAGAGATGACCACAGAAATTCTCCACTATTAAGGGATCAGGAAGAAGAAAAATACCTAGCAAAGGCGACTGAGAATGAGTAACAAGGAATGTAGAAGGAAAACCATGATAATGTGTATGCTAAAAGCCCAGTGAAGGAATTATATCCAGGAAAAGAGAGTGAGCAACGGTGTCAACTGTTGTACATAGACAGAGCAAGCGTGTGTGGGATAAGAATTAGACAATGTAGAGGTGAATTTAACAAGAGCAATTTTGGTGGAGCAGTAGAGTGAACGCTTGATGGAGTTGATTTAAAGTGAAAAGGGGAAGAAAGTATTGGGGGGTTTGAGAAGGTCTGAAACAGTTATCTAGAATAATGGAAGAATGAATGAGTGAGTGGGAGATAGTCTGACTGCCTACCAGCAAAAGGTCCACTTGAGATTCATGGTCATTAATTTAAAGTGAGAATAGTCCTTACGCTGGTATGTTTTCCTCCAGCCACGTTCTACTGTACGTCTAGGTGTAGAATAGGTGAAAGAATCAGATTAACCAGGGTTCTTGTTTTGACAAGGAGTACAGCGAAATGAGAGAAGGCAAGGAGTCAAAAGTATGTGCAAGAGAGTGATCAAGACTGCCCTGTGGTATTTAAGCCAGCTGTGGAAGGCATTCTGAGCTGAGGAATTAAAAAAAAGTGATAGGATCAATGCACTGGAGGTCCCAATGTAATCAGGGTACTTAGAGATAAATGAGCTAGAGATACAAGAACTATAATCAAATAATGAGATACATGAAGTTTGGTTCACAGTGGAGTTAATACCTAACACTTTACATAACCCATATTTTTGCTTTATCAAAACCTTTCTAAAACAATGATTAGCAGGATTTTTCTTACATTTTAGTATAAAAAGATTTTCTTACCTCTGATGAGGAAGGTCGACTTGGATTGAGGGACATATTTACCAATGTCTGAATGGGGTAATCAGTTGTAATTCTGTAGGATTTTTAAAATCTTCCTTCATCTAAGTAGTATTTAATAAGGGCTGTAACAGATTTTTGACTTGTTTAAGATAGCATTCCACTCATTTCTGGTCTTTGATTTGTTCAAAAAGTAAAAAGAAAAACACAAAAGACTTAACAAATAGACTCAAAATGAAAACTTAGATATGCACACAATCTTATTATAATAATTTAAAAAGACATATTATTAGTAAGTAGGGCTGGTCATCACAATGAAATGAACATACATCCTATACAACTAAGTGCTCGTAAATTATATTAAAGAAGACTTGTGACCAGAACTTTTTTTTATTATTCTAAATAATTCACTTTCTCTTGGTCAAAAATTAAGGTTAAATATCTATTTTATATAAAGTAGAAATATACTTTTAGAAATGGAAAGACTAAACTTATACAAATGGCTGATGAATGGTGAAAATTGTTTTACCATTTGAATTTCTTCCTGGGCTTGGATACCTCAATAATAATAAATGTGAACAATTATTCTAGGTGAAAATGCCAGTCTTTAAATATATCAGGATATGTTTGTGTATATTTGTGTCTTTCCTCAGAAAATTTTATGGAAGTTTACAAGAATACACAATAAAATTTAAAGTATATAAATATATAATAATAGTTGAAAAATAAAGTAGCTGAATTATTACACAAAAAAAGAATTTTCAAAATGGGACAATCCTTAAGGATACATTATCACATTAACAGCAGAGCAGAAGCTTTTTCAAGATTTCAAAGCATTTTTCTACTTTGCTTTATATTAAAATAGTGATTTAAATCTGACAAAACTTAAAATTCCTGTGATCTGGTACTGATTACATCTCTATGAAATCTTACCAGAGTCCACTAATTGGTCTCATGGTATCAAAATTAAAAGATTATATCTTGGGACATATGATATTTCAAATCAAATTATTTTCACAAATTACTTCCTATATAATTTTTTTACAATAATTAAAACAAAATGCAATCTGTCATTTTAACCATCTCAAACATTACTTTAAATACATTAGTACTTTAAGAGAACATTAAGATCTTTTCATTTCTGTATCTATCCACAGGTTCATTCTGACACTGTACTAATAATATTAGTCTCTATTATGAACGTGAACAAAGCACAACTCAAACATACACGGTAACTTCCTTATTAGATAAGAATTAATGTTAATAATCTATACAGCATATGGGTATTCATTAACTAGTATGCCAACTGGGAGACAAGAACTTTTGATTTCTGTGGCTGCATTAAAAACTTCATATTTTGGGCGATGGGCATAGGCTCAGCAGTAGAGCATGTGCTTAGCATGCGTGAGGTCTTGGGTTTAATCCCCGGTACCTCTCTCAAAAATAAAGTAAAAAATAAAATAATAAAAATAAAATAATCACCAATTTAAAAAAGCTTGTTATTTTAATTCTGAACAAATTTTTAATTCAGCAAACTCAAGACAGATCAGTCAAGACCTGCTTTAGTATTATCCTAAGGTAAACTGTCCTATTGTACTACCCCTTCTGAAGGAACAGCAAAGAAGCCATGTTTTGAGTGACAATTCCTTTTGTCATTTCTGACTGAGTCAATACTAAAGACCAAATCTTGGCCAGCCAGAGACAAATAAAATGACCTGTCATGAAAAAAATGAGCCCTTAGGAATTAGAATTGGGAGAAGAATTCAAGGTTTAAGTATGTAGTTGGTAGATATTGAAGCAAAAAGAATGCAGAAAGGGAAGTCATGAAGCAGTGTCATGGCCATGAGGCAAGCCCATGTTATGAGAGTTACCATTTGTAAACAAAGATAGAAAAAGAGATAAAGACTAGAGAGAATGACTAAGTAGACTGGTAGTGAGAAGTAAACTAAGGAGATTCATAGGTGATTCATGTTTATAGATAAGCATTACAGAGAAGAGTCAACATTTTTTGCTGCGGAGGTCCCTAACCTTGCATGGACTCCCAGTTTGGCCTTTCGGGGCAACGGTTCCTGTTTTTTGGATTTCTATGGAATAACTATCTCCACTACTCTGTGTTGATCTTCACAATAATCTCTTCATTGTGTGAGGTAACTAGAGTAAATCTTTGCTGTCAAAACCAAAAAGGGCTTCGTTAGTCTTTTTAGGCAGGCATAGAATCTGTAGTTGATCCTAACCAAATCACATTTTGAGTATTAATTCCTAATATATAATCTTTGGGATTTTCAAATTCTTTGCCTATTATTAATTAGCTAATGAACAAGATAATGGCAATTCAAACAAACAAAAAAAGACTGACAGCTCAATAGCCAAAGATAAAGTGACTCTAGGGTTCTGGTTCAATCTTTCATTCACTGCATACTTTTGCTTTATGACCTCCCTGTCACTTTGCGGGGAATGGAAAATTGGCTTTATCTTGCATACTAAACCCCAGCAACTGGTACTGGCTGCATAAAAGTGAGTTACTGAAAGGATTCCAAGGCCACATCAGCCCTCAGTAGGCAAGAGTATATAGTCAACTATGGGTTTGGGAGGGAGTAACTGTTGGTAGATAATATCACCTATCTGCCATCTCTGATCTAATCTCTAAAGGGAATTAGCTATCATGCTTTCTCTGCCCTTTTTAAAAATGATTTTGGGAGTCAACAGCAGAGCTGAAAATCAAACTTAAGAATTTCTAATACTGTTCAGCACCTAGAAATGAGGATTATGGTAATTCGTATTTCCTGTTTTATTTGATAATAAGGCATACAAAGAGATGCTCAGTGGACTTTCGTAAAACCCTAAATAATACTAAAATTGGAAACCTAAAATGGTCTATGTTTAAGCATACCAATATAGTAGAATCTTATACAAAGGAAATGGATTGGGAAGCAGAGAAGCAGGTTTCTAGTCCTGTGTAACCTGTAAGACCATTCATTCACTCTAAGCCTGTTTTAGTCTGTAAATTGAATGGCTTGGACTCTTAAGATTCTTTGTAGCTCTAAAATTCTTTTTGATATAATTCCTGATTCTTAAATCACCAAGGGATGGGGTCTATCTGATCAAGATAAATTCAGGTTAAATCGTGTCTTGAGAATTCTGTCTAGTTCACGGTTAACTTGTAAATAAGGTTCCCTAATTCATTGAAAGTAATGAATTAAGTAAGTTTTAAATAAATAGATTAAATTGAGGGCACTCCAGAACTCCTAGCCATTTTATAGTCCTTCCAACAGAGGAATGAAGTTTGTTTTCCGTACAGGCCCTAGTGTAGACAAATGGCATAGCTGTCTTGGTTTGGGATATTCTTATTAGGATATATGGGGGCATTTTAGGGTGGGGAAGGGTCTCCTAGAAAGCAACAGAATGATATGAAATTAGAATCTATGTTTGAAAAGGAATTATAGAATATGTTTTCTTTTCATACATCCCTTTAAGGTCTTTTGAGAAAGTCTAGTTTTCATAATCATAAAACAATAACAGGACATTTTTTTAAAAGCCTCTGTTCTGTTCAAAAGTTATTTCTAAGTTTTCAGAGGGACAGAGATACCTTCTTGCCCAGCATTAAACCTGATTTAGGATAAACATAACAATGATGTTTCTCTTGGTAAATGGTATTTGAATGTCTGGTTACAGAGTATCTCAAAGTTTATATTCCAGAAATAGAAAAAGAGTAAAATGATTGAGGTTCAAATATATTTAAACACAAAAAACAAAACCCTGTCTCAGTCTTCCTGATTTTAAGTACTAGCCAACATGATGTCATTAACATGGGGTGAAAGCATAGCATGGGTTTATAAGAAGAGGTGGAAAAAATACATTCCCTGCCCCCCCATCTTCTTTCCTTTTGAAGAGATAGTTTTTGAAAGCACATGTTCAGTGATGAAAGAAACACTAGTCTTGTAATTTTCCACACACCTTCTGGGAAACTTTTAAGATGCGACAAAGCACAGAGATAAAATAGCTTCTATCATTTTCCTGGACCAGAATCATAACTACTGAGATGAAAGGTAAACAGGAAGGTAACAGATGTACAGCACAGGGAACTATATTCTATAATCTATAATGAAAATATATATATATATGTATAACTGAATCACTGTGCTGTATACCAGAAACTAACACAACATTTTAAATCAACAATACTTCAATAAAAAAAGGGAAAACTAGAAAAGGTAATAGGAAAAAAATGGAAAACTTAATATTAAAGGGTATTTAATAATATCTCTACACATGCATAGATGTTGAGTTAAAAATACACACAGAACTATATTCAGTATCTTTTAATAACCTTTAATGAAAAAATATAAAAACAAATATATGTATATATATACATAACTGGGACATCATGCTGTACACCAGAAAGCGACACATTGTAACTGACTATAATTTAAATTAAAAAAAATAGTCTTATGACACTTTTACGAGATAAGTCTTTGTATTGTTTCTTATAAACAAGTTTCCTTATAGTTCCATATTCAACTATGATATCTAATTGTTACTCCAGTATATGAGCAGATCCATGGAAACAAATACATTACCTACATATAATGGGATAAAAATCAGGAGATATAAGTTCTATTCTTGTCTCTGCCACAAACCAGCTAAATTACAGTGGGCAAGTCACCCATCCTTTCCAAACCTCAATTTGCTTGGTGACTATTAAGAGTAGTGTAAACAAATTCTTTGTGAAAGAAGTCAGAATTGAGTCTCATCTTTAAAAAGAGATTCAGCTTTTAGTTAAATTATAAAGCAAGGCACTTAAAATTTAAAGTATTTTATTCATTCAGATACTGAATTTAGATCTAGTGAACTAAAGAACGGAGGGTACTAATCAAATAAGATGAAGATCCTAGGTAAATTTAAATTGCCTGTGCTCTGCTGACAAACAGAAAATGACAGATTTCTTGGTTGTGTTTTCTGGCCATACATTGTTATAAGGACTCTCTTGGTATCAAATCGTTTTTACAACAGGACCTGTCTTTAACCATCCGAAATGTGACTTCCATGTCTGTAAGGTTGATAAGGCCTTTGAAATGTTTTAAATCATTGTGGAAACTCAAAGAAAAAGGTTTGTTTATGAGATGTAAGTAATGCATTAGCTGTATTTATTGTTAAACACTTCAGATGCAACTGAC